ACAAAATGGCGTCGTATATGTGTGGTGATGTGGTGATGTGCGAGATGCGAGTGTGTAGTGGTGTGTTCGCGTTGTATTTTGCTGTATTTTGATTCGTTCCGCCATTTTGAGGGACTTTATGATGTGAACCAATAAAAAGATGTCTATGACCGATATATTCACAGACGGTTCTCATATTTAAGATCGTCTTAAGACCTCGTTCAATCAATCAAATGGCCGCATAGCATCTCTTGATTGGTTGAACGAGATCTTAAGACGATCTTAAATATAAGAACGGACTATGAATACCGCCCTATGAGAGGTGCTGACTAGGCTGCCGGATTATCTTCTTAAGTCCAAGGGCGGCAACGAACTCGGCGCGAAGCTTGAGGGTGCCATTCTTTGACTATAGAAACATGAACTGCTAGTCCCCGCCTCTTTTACTCTTGGAAAAGATGTAATGGACATTCCTAACCAAACCTAATGCTATTGCTTGATATTGCTCCGTCTCTTGCCCAAAAAGCATCTTCTGTCTTTGTTGCACATCGAATCACGCCAAACTCATCAACCAATCACATCGTTTTAGTTATCATATACAAATTCACCTATAGTTATTTAACGTAATGCCGATACGCTAAATTCAATTTTTCGCGTAAGCCGCCGAAAGTCGCATACGCACATTTGCATAATTTTCGTTTGTGCTGAATGTGTTTCGATGTGTACTGAAAAAATATAAAAATTGTTCTGAGAAATTCTGAAAATAATATTCACCAAGTAAACCTTAAAATTATTTCGTTATATCGTGCAAGCAATGAATTATATCTAATTGTAAATATTTAATGAAATTAAAATCAAAATTAAAATTAGAATATTTTATTTTTAATTAGTTAATCAAAATTAATAATTATTGTTATTATTACTATTGTACAACAGAAAGCCTGCTCTGTTATTGGTTAAGCTAGTTACGCTTTACGCGAAATTTAACGAAATACGCTCCATGTGAATAAGGTACTTTTAAGAGTCAATTTTTCCAACTTCTCGGTAAGTTTTACTTGACAGGTAGCATATTTTTGTCTCTTTTCAGAAGAGTTGAAACAACCGTCCCTAAATGGCATAAATTCTGGCATATTACTAGAATACGCAAAGTACGCAGCAGTACGCGCGCACGCATCTTACGACGCATATGTGAAGGCACCCTTACTATTTATTCCGCGTTTCCGCGTTTCATGTAATGACACTCTTAAGTGTGAGAGTAATTTCGATATCGTTGTACAGTCATAGGTCTCGTGATCTGCGGCCACGTGGCATTCGACCGTTCGGCAAATATTTCAACTTAAGAGTCGTTAAAGTAAAAGTATATATATTTATAATATAGTGTTGAGTGACTTAGACCTTGCACACAATAGGAAAAATATTAATTAAATATTAAACAGGAATGAGAGAGAATATTGTAATTATTCCAGCCAGAAATAATTGGTCGAATCGACGATAGCTGTAAATATGGAGGATTGCAGTACACGAAAAGAAATAGATGATTCGCAAGATGTAAGTATTTTTTTAATATATAATATAACTATAAATTATTTATAATAGACTGTCCGATTCGCATAATAAAGATACACGGTGCCTCGCTTCTTAAAGCAGGAGTCGACTACACCCTAACTAGGCGCGAGACACTACCGTGTCTTTTGATTAATAATTATTATCGAAATTAAAAAGTATTTTTTTGCAGATGGATCATTTATTACTAGAAGTAGACGACTTAATATTAGTCGACGCGCCTAATACGCCGGCATCCGCCAGTAATAAACCTGGGCCTAGTTCTGGGCCTGAACTTAGGTCTGAGCAGCCAGCATTAATGAAAGAGACCCCTGAACCTCAAAGTAGGCCTGGGCCTGGATCTTCTAACACTCAATCTTCTAAACCTAAAAATGCTCCATGTAAGTTAAAGTAAAAGTATATATATTTATAATATAGTGTTGAGTGACTTAGGCCTTGCACACAATAGGAAAAATATTAATTAAATATTAAACAGGAGTGAGAGAGAATAATATTTAATTTAATTTAATAATTTCCTATTGTGCGCAGAGCCTTATTTAGTGGTGCGATTACAGGTTACGACATGTAATATAAAAATATAATACAATTAAAGCTGCGGTGAAGACTGTGTTTTAAATGCTTTGAAACATCATTCTACCTTTGTTCTATATACCATGAGAATAAAGATAGAATAATGTTTCAAAGCATATGTAACACAGTCTTCACCGCAGCTCTAATTGTATTAATATTTTCATATATTACATGTGTAGTACATTCTTAATCGCAGCCTAAGTGCAATTTCTTTTACAAATACCTTTTTTACATGCGTTGCATTTTTTATTATACACTTCAACACCAATATAAGTTTTATTATAAATAATTAATATATCATCTATATAAAAGCAGCAATATACAGTTGTGATTTATTTTATTTCAACATTGCAATCACAGACACAATGAAGAGCATATGAGTAAAATAATTATATTATATATCTCTCCTCGCTTTAGTCTATAAATACTTTTCTCATCTATGAGTGCAACATTGTCTTAGAGAATCTTTACAATAAAACTTGTTTTATACATTCACAAATACAATCAAGTGCAACGTATGTAAAAAAAGTAGCTTCAGTCGTTATTGTGCATTCGAAACGCGTAATAAACATACACGTCGCAGTACCTCGCTTCTATAAAGCAGAAGTCCTAACTAGACGCGAGACACTACCAGTGTCTTAATATGCAATATTGAATTGAATTACATATATATATATATATAGAGAGAGAGAGAGAGAGAATAAGACAATTAATTATTTATTAATTACAGATTTTAGAGCAAGAGGAAAGAGAGCAGGAGTTAGGAGACAGAAACAAAAATTTATGAATTTCCTGTTCAAGTTATCATCTTCCTCTTATTATTGGGGTCCGAGAAGAGGACGAGGAAGAGGTGGAAGAGGAGGTTATCAAAATCAATAGAAAAAGGTATATTTAGAATATAATTATTCAATTAGTTTTTCGAAATTGTATTTAATTTATTGGTTAATTTATTATATATGGTTTTTACAATTATAAATCTAATATTAATATATTAATATAATTATATTTTATATCAATGCAATATATATATATATATATATGTATGTTCTTAACGCAGACGAAATAAACACCGTCAATCTTGGTAAAATATGCTTCCATGGTATACCTGACGAACCTGGTGGTCTGAGGCCTCTGTGTTGGAAGCTACTGCTGAATTATTTGCCACCGAAGAGGTCCAGTTGGCTGGAGACTCTCAAGCGCAAGAGAGAGTTGTATGACACTTTTATTGAAGATCTCATTGTTATGCCGGGAGAATCTAATGCGGATGACAAAGAAAGAGTCGATGTGACGTTACATGATCATCCTCTCAACTTAAATCCGGATAGTAAATGGCAAATATACTTTAAGGATAATGAAGTTCTCCTCCAGATCGATAAAGATGTTAGACGACTATGTCCAGACATATCATTTTTTCAACAAGGCACTGATTATCCATGTCAGAAAATAGTCAATGCTAATGACCAGCAACGTTTACATAATAGAGTTCAACACATTGTACTGATTACGCGCCATTGGCTGAAGGCGGTGAAGCGCATTGGGAAGTTTTAGAGAGAATACTCTTTTTATACGCCAAGGTTAAATCCTGGTCAAGGTTACGTGCAGGATATGAATGAAATAGTCGGACCTATATATCACGCATTTGCTTGTGATCCAGATCCAACATGGAGAAAACACGCCGAAGCAGACACTTTCTTCTGTTTTACCAATCTAATGGCTGAAATACGTGATTTTTTTATAAAGACGTTGGATGAAGCTGAATTTGGAATTAATTCAATGATGAGTAAATTGACAAATCAAGTTAGAGCTAATGATCCTGACGTTTGGCTGCGTCTGCATCAACAAGAATTGTGTCTGCAATATTACAGCTTTAGATGGTTGACGCTTCTTCTTTTGCAAGAATTTCCTCTTCCGGATGTTATAAGGATATGGGATTCCTTGTTTGCTGATGAGAATAGATTCAGTTTCCTTATACATATCTGCTGTGCCATGATTCTATTATTAAGGGACCAGTTGCTGGTTGGCGATTTTGCTACGAATGTTAAACTCCTACAGAATTTTCCATCGATGGACATTCAAATCGTGCTCTCTAAAGCGGCTGCTTTGGCGGGCAAGACTTTATAGTTTTTGTAATGATTATTTTTCTTGATTAAGTCGTAAATGAGCTGCAGTGATTTTTCGGCATGTCGAATATTGTGATCTTTGCCTCTCCTCTTTCTGTGCTGTCCGCGATATACACATAAATTTATACATCATCATAAATGATATATAAAGTGCATATAATTTGTATATTGCTTTGACTCGCATTTATGATTTTGAAAAGACTGAATATAGAGAGACATTGTTGACTTGTACTACTTAATCTACCTATATTCTAACTTTGCGCACAATAAAATTACGATATATAAAGTATGTGCATTTTTTATTAATTCTGCGTTTATGATATTATATTATGATAATATTAATCTAGAAGAGAGGTGCAATCAAAATATCAATTGAGATATAACATAATCATGTATATATAAAGCTTACCGGTAGCTTGATAAAAGATATAATTTGGCATTTATGTTATATGAAATAGTTAACACAACTGTATATATGGCACACGCTCAACGAATATTGATTACAAAAAAGCAGCATTTTTAGTGCCACATGTCAAATTAAAAAAAATAAAAAGATTAGATCATAAACAAGTTTATATTTTATTATTATATAACCAGGATATTCTAGAATTCTAAATCTACAACAAAGACATTAATGTAATTTATATATACAGAGTGCCAAAACTTTGATGTTGAAACTTAGTAGAATCACGTGCATTTACAGTACAGGCACTACACTGCCATAAACATGAAGCTCTCTTACTATAGAAGTTTTTTCTTTTAATTCTGATATACAAGAAATTATAAAATTTATTAATAATTATTAATTACATATTGATACATGTATACATCATATAGTCTACAAAATAAATCTTTCAAGTACATTTCTTTAATCTGAGTAAACCAACTAGAATATCTTGCATAGTATCTTCATATGATATACTAAAAAATATACATATATGTATTATGTATAATCTATCATAAATGTATATATTATGCATATGATTTAATATTGTTATATTTACCTTACTAATGGCACAGGTATATCACGTACGCGATAAACCCGTGTCCACGGTGGTATTAAGGACAGAATACAAGCTATAAGATCGATCAATACACTCGGTGCATAACTTTTGTATCTTCCAGTTTTTAATAACCACGTATGACAAGTGTCGGATACATTTTTAATCCATCTGATCGAAATGCAGGATTTCTACAAATTATAATATTTATATAACAATATATAGAAGTAATAAGAAATAATTAAGTTAATTAATATGTACAAGCTAGAGAACCATTACTTACAATAAATTGATATACATCTCGTTCAAAGTCAACATTTGGTAAATCTGACATCATGTGAGCTATCATCACTTTGAACACTTTAAATATTCTGATGTATTCGTATATTATGTGATATATTTTTTTATATAATATATAATTACATATATGCAGTATCACATGTTTAGTATATCATAAACATATTCTTTTATAAATATATATTTATATAATGATATTTGCAACTTTTTGATATTTATTAAATACTTTTATTATTATGTTACGTTATCATTTTATTTATACTATTTCTTTCATAATAATTTTCTGCAACGCTACCATTGTACTACATCTTTCATAAGTATATAAATTATAAAAAAAGGAATAGTAGGATGGTAGTGTAGCAAGAAAGTAATTATTTTTATGAAAGAAATAGTTTAAAATGATAACGTATCAATATTTATTTTATACCCCGCACGTCAATATTTATTATTTTTTTTTTACATAACCCCGCACGCTACTAATATCGCGGAGCACCACTAACGCCGTCTGTTGTAAAACGTGCGAGATGGACAAAATTACCACTACATGCATCTTGCATGTGTTGTGTACGTGTGATATATGTGTGCGCATGTGTTGTATACGTGTGAATACGTGTAGCACGATACTACTATGTATGCGTGGTCGATGATGATAATGATGATGATAATGATGATAATGATGATAATAATGATGACGGGGACGTTTCTTAATAGAAATTTTTCATATTTCGACTTTGCATTTATATATCTCTGCTTACAAATCACGTAGAGCAGAAATAAAGACACTTTTATTATATAATTCGAACTCAATCTATCGATTAAGTCTAGTATAAACTCGATTGCTTCAGCCATTATTGAGGATTCGAAATATTATAAAGACTCAAATGTCCGACTCGCGTTAAGATACACGGTGTCTCCGCTACGCCCTTAACTGGTCGCGAGACACTACCGTGTCTCTTGATTTAATAGAAATTTTAGGCATATTTCCTTTTTATTTTCTGTAACAGTCTCTAAGTAGTGATCTCTAGTGCAATCGTCCTCCCAGACTGGTGGTCTTGCGCTCCAGAATTAAAACTCTATAAAATAAAAAATATCTTAATTTATATTTAAAGATATTTATTCTAAAGAATATAGAAAATAAGAATGTGTTCATGATGCATTTGTATTTTAGACTTTTATATTTTGAGTCTATGTGCTAACAATAAACTAAATTAATATTTTATTTATATGACAATACATTTTTTATCAAGCAAGAATAGAATTTAAGGAGCCTATTCTGTAACTTTTAACAATGTTGTTATGCATTACTGCACAGATTATGTGTCATGTAATAGCTGTGTAATGATAACAAAACAACATATAAATAAAGGGACATACAGAATAGATGACTTTTGTCAATATTTCTCAATCAACGATGATTTATTTTAAACAGAATCAATATATTATCAAAGCAGAATTACATTTTTGTTTCAAAATAAATTATAATCATTTGTTAAGTATGAAATTATATAACATTAATATATATTATGTTGTTATTATAGATTGTGATTTTATTGATGATGAAAATGTATATATATGATTATAAATTTAACGTATAAGACGGGCAACAAGAGCCAAATCGCGGATGACAATGCGTTATCCTAACGAAACTAAATAATTTTTCGTTAGAATTAAAATACCGGTGCACAAGGCACCAAATTTTTACTTGGACACGGCCAAGATTTTAAATATGAAATAATCTCATATTTTGAGATTTAATTTCAATACCCCTTTAACCCCCCTACGGAAAATAAATAAATGAATGCAAGAGAAAAATATAGATCCGAAAATCGCTGAATCGGGAATCGAACCCGAGACCTTTCGCTTGCCGGGCGACTGCTCTTCCAGCTGAGCTATTCAGATCCTTTCGATTCTATACTTTTCTCTGTTATATATATTAATGTTGGTAAACAAACGCATTTTTTAAGCCAGCGTGTATCAAATATAAAAGTTTTAACAAGGCTCTGTAATATAAATATAAATTTAACGTATAAGACGGGCAACAAGAGCCAAATCGCGGATGACAATGCGTTATCCTAACGAAACTAAATAATTTTTCGTTAGAATTAAAATACCGGTGCACAAGGCACCAAATTTTTACTTGGACACGGCCAAGATTTTAAATATGAAATAATCTCATATTTTGAGATTTAATTTCAATACCCCTTTAACCCCCTACGGAAAATAAATAAATGAATGCAAGAGAAAAATATAGATCCGAAAATCGCTGAATCGGGAATCGAACCCGAGACCTTTCGCTTGCCGTCTCGAGTTCGATTCCCGATTCAGCGATTTTCGGATCTACATTTTTCTCTTGCATTCATTTATTTATTTTCCGTAGGGGGGTTAAAGGGGTATTGAAATTAAATCTCAAAATATGAGATTATTTCATATTTAAAATCTTGGCCGTGTCCAAGTAAAAATTTGGTGCCTTGTGCACCGGTATTTTAATTCTAACGAAAAATTATTTAGTTTCGTTAGGATAACGCATTGTCATCCGCGATTTGGCTCTTGTTGCCCGTCTTATACGTTAAATTTATATTTATATTACAGAGCCTTGTTAAAACTCTTATATTTGTATATATATGATTTTGATACGGCACAGAAATCTGAAATATGCATTATGCATGCACATATATCAGATATGTTATAAGATGTTATTCATTATTTTGTTAGCTTATCATAATTACTATTAACAAAAATGTCAATAAAATTATCTAAAAATATAAATTGTTTTAAAAATGCAATAATTATAGCTTTTGTCAATATTTCTCAATCAAGGATGAATTATTTCAAACAAAATCAATATATATTATCAAAGCAGAATTACATTTTTGTTTTAAAATAAATTTATAATCACGATAAGCAAATGAATAAATAGTACGTATTCTATTCTTGTTTGATAACAACAAATATTTGTATCAAATAAAATACCAAATTTTTAGGTTATAAAATTGCCCAAATAATTTATATACAAATACGTGTAAAATATATATACTACACAATTATACATATACTTACAGTTTTAATTCTCGTATTCGTATTATCTTTTGTAGCCGTTAAAACGGCTGATTGATTAGTTGATTTTATTTCACTGAAATCTCACGATTGAAATCCTAACGTTCACTTTCAGGAAATGGCGGTAATTGAGCATCGATCAACGTGTCGCGCTTTTCCCTTCATTTTAGAACAAAAAACGAATAGTCCAAAACAGGTCCATGTATGAACATCTATTGGACGTACAATATATATCCATAAATAAACCCAGCAAACACAATATATAAATGTTATATACTCAAGCATTTTACATGTAACGTATATGTTAGTTGTAATTTCCCACTCATAGATGTAACATTTTTAATATTACCATTGTAGTTATATATTGTCATTATATCCCAAGATAGCACTGACTTATCAATACATCAATGTGCTATTTGGTATATAATTACAATATAACTACAATGTAATATATGTTATATTAAAATGTTACATCTATGAGTGGGGAATTACAACTAATATGGATGTTACATGTAACATACACGTTATATTACCTGTTATATTCCGTTTTATTATAGCAATGTAACAATTATATATCGGTGTTTGCTGGGAATTATATAAAGTGGATGTCAAATGGATGTCTACTGGATGTACGTTTATTATTACTCAATGTACGTACTTATAATGGACGTACAATGGACAACTATTTTATGTCCATGGATATATGATCATAAAATGGACGTAAAATGAACGTTCATAAGACGTACTGTGCTATTTGAGACACAACACGGTAATCATAATATGCTCTCGTAATTAAGATCGCAAATATGTTAGGATACATTAATAAAACTTTTTGATTAATAACATCTTAAGAATCATATAAAATAATTTAAAAATGAACTATAAATACTGTTTATAGGATAAAATATTCTAAGATTTATTACAGACAGAAGAGATATCATGATAAAATCTTACTGCATAATTTACTTACTTTAGATGTGTTATAATTTCATTCTATCTTTGTCGTTCACTGATATTGAAAAATGATAGAATGATACACTATGTCGTATATTGTGTCGTTGCTGGAAAGCATCTATAATTGTAAATTATAAAACAATTGTGGCACGTGTACATTAGCACGTGGCTTTTGTAATATATTTAATTTACTTACTTAATATATTTAATTTACTAATATAATCAATTTACTTACTTTAAAAAACATCAACGTAAGCATCTAGACTCAATAAATTTATCAAAATATTTTTTACCTCCATCTTCAGATAACAAGTATTTAGTTGTCTTACGTTATAGATTAAATTAAGTATAATATAACCTATAATAGACGGAGAGCTGACTACATAGGGTGCGACATGTCTCGGTGCATGAAATATTTTACCTGTAAAAGGTTCGATTGCTGCCAGCAAAGCGGAAGCCCGACCGTCAGAAGGCGCGTGGAAGCTAAGTGTGTGGGCGGACGATCAAACGTGTAAATTTTCCAAATAAAGAAACTATCGATGTGCACGGCTGAAGATTTACATAGATATCGAAGATCATGAAAAAAAGCAGTAAAAAAATTGTCAGAAGGGTAACTGAAAGCTAAAAGGTTATCAAAAGCTGCCAAAAATATCGGAAAATTTACATTTTAAAGAAAACTTTTGACAATTTAAATTTACACTGTTTACGTATGGAGCAAAGTATGTGCAAAGTGTCAGAAGTTAAAGTAGAAGAGATTATGAGAAAGTCGGGTGCGAAGTGCAAGAGCGTATTTCGACGCGCGGCGCAGCACGGATCGCTTTTCTTTTGATTTTCACACTGTACATATTTTAGAGCATTTCTGACAATTTATCTGATTAATTAAGAGAAACTTGAAAAACTATTATCAAAAAGTCAGAAATCAACTCAAAAGATATTAATTTTTATAAGAAAAAAATAAATTTTATTCGTATTATTAAAATAATAAAATAATCAATCGGTTTCATAT